CCCATAAACTGTCTTCTACAACGGTCCGACATGACCCCATAAACTGTCTTCTACAACGGTCCGACATGACCCCATAAACTGTCTTCTACAACGGTCCGACATGACCCCATAAACTGTCTTCTACAACGGTCCGACATGACCCCATAAACTGTCTTCTACAACGGTCCGACATGACCCCATAAACTGTCTTCTACAACGGTCCGACATGACCCCATAAACTGTCTTCTACAACGGTCCGACATGACCCCATAAACTGTCTTCTACAACGGTCCGACATGACCCCATAAACTGTCTTCTACAACGGTCCGACATGACCCCATAAACTGTCTTCTACAACGGTCCGACATGACCCCATAAACTGTCTTCTACAACGGTCCGACATGACCCCATAAACTGTCTTCTACAACGGTCCGACATGACCCCATAAACTGTCTTCTACAACGGTCCGACATGACCCCATAAACTGTCTTCTACAACGGTCCGACATGACCCCATAAACTGTCTTCTACAACGGTCCGACATGACCCCATAAACTGTCTTCTACAACGGTCCGACATGACCCCATAAACTGTCTTCTACAACGGTCCGACATGACCCCATAAACTGTCTTCTACAACGGTCCGACATGACCCCATAAACTGTCTTCTACAACGGTCCGACATGACCCCATAAACTGTCTTCTACAACGGTCCGACATGACCCCATAAACTGTCTTCTACAACGGTCCGACATGACCCCATAAACTGTCTTCTACAACGGTCCGACATGACCCCATAAACTGTCTTCTACAACGGTCCGACATGACCCCATAAACTGTCTTCTACAACGGTCCGACATGACCCCTTAGTGTGTCTTCTACAACGGTCCGACATGACCCCATAAACTGTCTTCTACAGCGGTCTGACACCGCCATACAATGTCCTCTACAACGTTATGACACCACCATCCAGTGTCTTCACCAATGGTCTGACACGACCATACAGTGTCTCCTATCCTTTTTTATTTTTATGTATTTTCCTGTTTTGTTACTCTCTCCAAACTCAAGTTGGTTAGTATCTATCCTCCTTGAGTTTGAGGGGGGCTGTAAGTGTGGTAGGTAAAGTTGAGTGTGTTAGGTGAGAGTTGAGTGTGGTAGGTAGATGTGAGTGTGGTAGGTGAATATGTTTTTCTCTTCTATATATAGGAGAGTCATTGTACACAACATATATAAATCAATAATACAATTCTCTATTTCTTTTTATACATCAATTTTAACAGTCATGTACCAAGGGACATGTCTCTTGTGAAAGGTACCTAGAGGCGTATAATGTAGGACCACTGTTCTCATCCATATTACTGCTATATTATTTTTTACTTTAATACACGGTGATTTTCTGGGCAACATGAGAAAGACTTGGCACGTCTGTTTGTCACCGATGGTGCAACATGTCAAACACTGAGACTTTTGGGTTGTATCTTGTAGCAATATTTGTCCCTCAGTACCTACATGAAGGGAGGCTAATACGACTGTAGTCTATAGAACAATGACTTCTTGTGCCTCACTGTCTCACAAACTATTTTCTTTCCCATCTTCCATTTTATTTACATTGTTATTTTTGTTCATTGTTTTCATAATCCATGCTTTTAGTTGTTTTATTACTTTGTGATAATTGATTAATTATTTGATAATCTTGATTATTAAATCCCGAACAGTTATCCGTAGAAGTCAATCTTGCTATGAAAATGCTTTAGCTTGCATCTAAAAAAACATGTTCTCTACAGTTATGGGTCTGTGAAAGAAACCATACCATGAAAGGTGGCTTTTCTATGCCTGCCTAAAGAAGATAGGAGGGGGGGAAAATAGTGGAAATAAGACAGCCTAAGTGGTTTGGCAAATACTTTTCTATTAGTTTTTTTGGTTTTTTACTCTTTGGGGGGAAAAAAACAGCTGTTAAAAAACTGATGTTTTTGGCACATACTAAAAGAGTTAATTTTTTGTTATTAGGAAAATTGAGTGGGGAAATTATTTTCTTCTTTATTGTCGGCTAAGTCAGCTATTGCCAATCAGGCAAACACGTTTTGGCTCGAACAGCCAAAAAAAGGTTATTTAAGCCATTGCCAACCAGAGCTCAAATTGAATTTCACATTCTGTTATCTCACATTCAGGGTTTTAACAGCTGGATTTTTCAAGTCCTTAGGTATTCTTCTTTGAGCTACCAAGTGACTATATATATATATATATATCATGAATGAATGAATAGAACCTTGGCCTAATAACCTTGGGGTTCTGGGATCAAGTCTCGGGACAATCACTTTGTGCATTATGTCAAAGGTTAGGTGTGTATCTAAGTTTTCCCCTCACAAATACACGTTAATGTATACTAATTGGGCGCTGTTTTTTATTTTTTTATTTTATTTTTATGTCATGAATGAATAGAAAAATACTGTTTAACCTGTCCTGAGGTGTTGAATATTTTCTTATTTTTACTTTTTTCTTCTCATCTATATGTGTACACACAAATATATGTTTGCACAAATATATTTCAGTGAGTTACTGCTCAAACTAAAGAAGATAATAGTTTTAGATCTTTCATCAATAGAGCAGTTATACTGCAATTTTATTTTACAATCTTTTGTTTTGTGACTCTGTCTTCTCAATGTCTTTGATGCAGTGGAAGCACTATAGTCGGGATTGGTTCTCCAGATCCCCCACAATTTGTTTACGATGATGATGAATACAAAGAAGTGTTTTTTTCAGGTAAGTTACAAGCCTGTGTTCTTTCTTGTTTTTCATCCAATTTGCTTCTTGCAAATAAATAGTTTTTCATTTTCTCAATAATACAACCAAATATAATCACAATATCCGTGAATTAGTGTCAAGCTTACAATCCCGGGTCACATAGGAACGAAGGTCATGATCTGCCCTCCAAGGTCTGTTTCAAATATCAGGTCTCTGATCTCTGTCCCTAGGAAAAATCACTCTGGAATAGATTAGAAAAACAACTATGTGGAAGTATAAGTGATCTTATAATCATGAAAATTAGGCCTGTTTATTGAGAGCTTTTAAAAATCATCTTGTGAGCAAATAACATATCAGCCATAGTTTGCTGACTAGTAGATCTATCTATGGAATTGAACCCTAATTAAAATCTTGCAATAAACAAGAAATATAGTCTACTCTTTTGTTTTTTGGTAATTAAATTTTCTGACTAGTAGATCTACGGAATTGAACCCTAATTAAAATCTTCCAATAAACAAGAAATATAGTCTACTTTCTTTTCTTTTTTTTGGTAATTAAAAGTATAGTCTATTTGATGGTGTGACATCATATTGAACATTTTTTTCCCCTTTCTAAAAGCTGTTGAATTTTGTTAGTGAAAAGAGATTAGTTTCTTATGTGAGTTCCTATAGTTCTTTGATTGGACCACTAGTGAAGCTTTATGAGCCTAAAAATATTGAATAATTTTGAAATAATTACATAGGCATATGAGTAGTGAGTAGCATGTGTAAATTGAGACTAGTCTTCTATTTAGTTTTTTATCAGACTAATTGGCCTATTAAGTAACGCAGCCTGATCCACCATCTGTCTGACAGAATCCGCCCCAAACTTTCCTTCTGGCCCTCCAAATGGAGGAGTTTTGGCTCCTCCCCCTGCAGTCTATGGGGGTGTTTGGTAGGGATTAAAAAAGCTGCTTATAACCTATTTTAATTTGGGAGTTGTAGTAGACTGTTTGGTGCAATTTCTGCTTATAACTTATCAGACAGAAATAGCTTAAATAAGCTTAAAAAAACTGATCTTTCAAAAGCTAGGAGAGGAGTGCTTTTAGTTTTTATTTTCTGATTATCAACTTTTAGCATAAAGTAATCTCCACCAAATATCATCAACCTTCCTTTTGGGCCCTCCGATGGAAGAGTTCTGATTCCACCCTTGCAGTCTATATATCCCAAATATTATATGTTGACCAAATATATTGTTTTGGCAGAAGCCAGCTTCATCACTCGTGCTGCAAATCAATGGTATACAGAAGAACCAATTTCAACAAGTGCTGGCACAGCCGTGGATCATTCGCTGCCAGTTTGAGTAGTCCCTTCTTGTTGTAAAAATAAAAACAACAGACAGATATGTTAATTGCCTCATATCCATTCATGTCTCATCTTTCTTTTATCAAATGTTTACAATATTTTAGAAAGATTTGATTTTGATCAGGGTGTGAGTGCTATGGAATTAACAGGAAGAAGACCACTGAGTACAGGGTATAAAGATACACTGAAATGAGAAATTGCAGTTTGAATTTCTCAACCTTTGTGTGCTTTGTCTTTTGAGGGCAAAGGTTCTCTTCTTTCTTCTCTCTCAAAAAGTTTAATGTCGTTATTTTTTAACTTCCCATCCCATTCCATTTTCCTTTTATTTTGTATTATTTTCAATGAAAGTTTTTAAAAAATTCAATTCAATCACTCAAAAACAGTTTGAGCTCAGCCTGTTTGGGTTACAAACAAGCTAGCTAGGTCAAAACTGAAGTTGCTCGGCAGATGTCTGAGCAATGCTAAGCTGTGTTTGGGTTATGAATTTAAAGTTAATATTTCATTCACGTTTTTTTGATCTTTTACTTAACCAAAATTAATGATCCAAACACAACTAAAAAGATCACCTCGCTCTGGATGATAAACCAATGGATGATAAATCAAGCAAACTGAAAATAAAATAAATAAAAATAAAAGAAGAGCAGCAGCAGAAATAAAATGACTCTTGGATGCTTTTTGCACTAAAGATTGACGATGACAATCATTGAACAGCAGCATCATAAGAACCAACACCAACATAAATCCAAGCACAATTTCTGGTCTTTTTTTTTCTTTTCTTTTTTATTCTTTTTTTAAACCCTTCTCCGAGTTGGCACTGCTCATCCTACAGGGAAGGCGAAGAAACAAACTGTCTGGGTAAACTAAACAGATCTTTCTCCTCAAAAGGAGACGACCACTCAAGCGAAGAACCACCACCAGTCGTTGACGTTTCCCCAGAAGCTACTACTCCGCCATCTTGCAATCCTGCTAGCCCACCATTGGCCAAAGGCGGTCTCATGGCTGTCCTAGCATTCAGTCCAGAAGTATACGAATCATGTACATGATTGTTGTTTTTCATCATTCCCTGCCACATTCCACTTGACCTAGATGAACTCCGGTCCAAAGTCCAATCTATGTTAGTATAATCAAACTGCTGTGTTGAGCCACCTGTGTTCCAGTCTACAGGAGATAACGACCCAGATGACCCATTCGAGCCCAATCCAGAGAATAGTCCGAGAGAGGATGCAGCTGCAAGTGTCGGAGATGTACTCATTCTATTCCACAAACCATTTCCCCGTGCTGCCGCTCCAGGAGAATCCACTGGACCGTTGCTCGACACGAATTGAGGGTGTTGTTGATAATGAAACTGGTTGTACAACTGATTCAAATTGTTAGGAGTAAGGCTTCTTGTACTACTAGGAATATGCGGTGATAATCCATTAGGCTGCTTTACTACTTCTACATTGTTTGGATACCAACCAGAGACTGTTCCGGACGGAGATGAACTCATGCTTGTGGTTGGGGCTTGCTTCACATTCGCTGATTGGGGTCGTTGCATCACTACAACTGGTTCCTTAACTGATCCCAGTTGAAGATTCTTCAATTCGCTTCCGAGAGCCATGTATCGGGTTTCTGTCTTGGCTGGTGGAGATGTTGCCTGCAAAGGTGATGCCATAGAATAGGAGGCCGAAGGATTTGATGCAGCACTTGGGGGCCACCTTTTATCAGCAGACATTGCAATCTGTTGTTGTGGTTTTGCCCACTCCAATTTAGGCTGAATTTTCCTCAACACCTGTGAATTTTTGCTTCCCGATTCCACAGGTACTCCAACTGTAGCTACTGTTTTGGTATAATTAAAATCTCTGTCATCTCTCCTCTGTTGTATGATAGCAGATGAATTAGGTTTTGGTTGAGGCCTCAATGAATTCTGACTACAAGATACTGAAAGTTTGCCGTTGCTGATGATTGGTGGATCACCAGTTTCTTCTAGCTTCGGTGGGGCAGAGGGTGGTGGGTCCTGCTTCTGTGCTCTCAATGTTTCTGCTGTCCTATCAAGATCACCTTCGCAGGCAACAATAGCTCTTTCAACCTCCTGCTTTAAGCAGTTGTACCTAATCTCCATGTCAGCAATTCGAGCTAGTTCCTCTGATATGTCAATTTTAAGATTACCCCCATCAAGCTTGTGTTCATTGTGGTCATCAGCTTCTTCACCCCCTTCAAATAGCCATGCCACTGATTCCTCTATTTTCCCTTCATTTAAAATGAGAGCCAATGTTGCCCGTTCAGAAGAAAATCCCATTGAGACAAGCTGTTGGGCGAGTGATTCCAGCTTTCTTGACATGAGAAAGCCACGACACCGCTCGTGCAATTCCTGGGCTCGCTTCTCTTTTTGACGCTGATGCTTCTTCTCGTTCTTTTGGCGGATTTTCTCTCTTTTGTCGTTGTCCGCTCCTGGTATTACCTCCTGACGGAGAGGATGCTGAGATGTTTTCTCTTTATGATCATCTGACTCACCAGACCAACTACCATTGTTGGAAACAGTATCATATTCCATCCCAGTTCCAACTGAGTTCCCAGAATGGTCGTCTGAGTCATCTATATTCCGGAAACGGCCATTTATGTGCAAAGGTAAAGCGGAAGACAATGGTGCCGTCTCAAGTGTGTGGAATTTTCCCAAATGCGGGTTGTAACCACTGACTGGGATACCACTAGCTGCATTAGCATGTACTGAAGGCTTCGGAGAAGCCTTCTGAGGTTCCTTGACAGCCTTTTTGTCCTTGGACTTCGATTTGGATGCTGGAGACATCTGCTTGATAGAAAATTGTTATCTGCAATGTTCAAAGTGATTTTTTTCTTAGTTATGGACAAATAGGACCATCAGAGCAACACGTGTGGTACAAACTAAAAAAAATAACTACACAGTTATTCACAGCTTCAACCATGATGAACCATACATGTACACTCGCTTTGTAATGTTAATGGGAGGTAAAAAATAAAAAATAAAAAAAAAATTGAATGTGTGTGTGAGGGAGAAAGAGAGTAATAGAGTGAAAGTCGTGCCATCTATATCAACAAGTGTCAACAAATGAGAGCGCACAATTATGAATTGGTAAAAAGATTGTTTCTTTTCAAGTACATGGATACTCGCAAACAAAACTGACAGGATCCATTAATGAACATGAGCTATACGGCAACCATAAAACACTCTCCAGTAAGAATTATTCTTCCAAATAGAACTTTCTCTACAGCCAGAAACTAAGGAGTACCTAAAGTATACTTAAATCATTGCCCAATTTTTTTTTTTCCCTTCAAGCCGAGTGAAATTTTCAATCACCGACTCGAACCCATTGTTCAATCCTACTCAGACGAATAAGGATGCACTTGTGGTAGAATGGGCCAATCAGGACTTAGGCGGAACTACTATGAAACAACTTATACAGGACAAACAGGTTGGACCAAACATTAAAAACTCAGAAAAGGTAATAGTTTTTCTTCCACAAGGCATTTTGTTAAGTAACCAACCCATAAAGTGTTTGATAACCTGATTCAGTACTTAAAACTGAATGTATTAAGTGATAATCAATTAAGCTAGTTTGATAACCATAATTGATATTGACTAAAACTCAAAAAAAAAGAAAAGTCATATGAAACTTACTTATTTTGACTGAATTTATAAATACTAAACTCAGTATTATAAACGCATTACCACCACCGTTATTGCTACCACTACCACTACCACCACCACCATGCCACCTCCACCATCACCATTGTCATTGTTGTCGTAAGCACCATAATTATTTTACTATCACTATCATTGCTACCGCTACTACTATCACTATCACTGCCACTGCCACTGCCACCACCACTGCCACCATCATCATCGCTACTGCTACCACCATGACAATGCCACCGCCACCACCACCGCCACCGCCGCCACCACCACCATCATCATCATCATACCATCACCACCACTATTACAATATAAAAAATTAAAATATACAATTTGAAAATAATAAATTTTAAATTTTATCTCATACATATTAAACAAATTTTTTTAATTCAACACTTAAATTTTTATCAAACAACTTAGCATTAAGTTTTCAATACGTAATTTTCAATCTTTAGTTTTCAGTTTTATGCTTTATCAAACACCACGTAAGATGCCAAATGGAAAGAATAAGCACACACCCAGAAAAGATTCAAATAAAAACAATTACGAATAAGGATGCACTTGTGGTAGAATGGGCCAATCAGGACTTAGGCGGAACTACTATGAAACAACTTATACAGGACAAACAGGTTGGACCAAACATTAAAAACTCAGAAAAGGTAATAGTTTTTCTTCCACAAGGCATTTTGTTAAGTAACCAACCCATAAAGTGTTTGATAACCTGATTCAGTACTTAAAACTGAATGTATTAAGTGATAATCAATTAAGCTAGTTTGATAACCATAATTGATATTGACTAAAACTCAAAAAAAAAGAAAAGTCATATGAAACTTACTTATTTTGACTGAATTTATAAATACTAAACTCACTATTATAAACGCATTACCACCACCGTTATTGCTACCACTACCACTACCACCACCACCATGCCACCTCCACCATCACCATTGTCATTGTTGTCGTAAGCACCATAATTATTTTACTATCACTATCATTGCTACCGCTACTACTATCACTGCCACTGCCACTGCCACTGCCACCACCACTGCCACCATCATCAACGCTACCGCTACCACCATGACAATGCCACCGCCACCACCACCGCCACCGCCGCCACCACCACCATCATCATCATCATACCATCACCGCCACTATTACAATATAAAAAATTAAAATATACAATTTGAAAATAATAAATTTTAAATTTTATCTCATACATATTAAACAAATTTTTTTAATTCAACACTTAAATTTTTATCGAACAACTTTTCAGCTTGAAAAATTTAGCATTAAGTTTTCAATACTTAATTTTCAATCTATAGCTTTCAGCTTTATGCTTTATCAAACACCACGTAAGATGTCAAATGGAAAGAATAAGCACACACCCAGAAAAGATTCAAATAAAAACAATTTTAAAAAAAAAAAAAAGGAAAGAGAAAGAAAGAAAAAACGCTTCAGAGAAACCCAATTATGAGCTCACTAATGAAATGTTTCCAGTTTGTTAAACCAGCAAAAATAGGGAAAATGTACAACCAGTGTTGCGATTGATCATCTTATTCCTGCCAAATGTAATTTATTTTATCAAACGAAAACAAGTGCTAAGAAAGGATTAACGAGTACAAAAATATCGGATATGAGAAAGCAACACAAGAAGATCCAAGCAAAAAAGTTAGAAATTTGAAACATGTAAATCTACAAAATGCAAGTTGATGTCAACATTCTGGTTAATAGATGTTAGGTTCAAGGCCATTAAAAATTCTCCAGTTTCTTGGAAACAATACTTTTCAAAAACCATAGCATATAACAAAACCATGAAGGGAAAAATCTAACTAAATTGAATGAACTGCATGAGGTCGTGAATCCCGATGTCCACTTTACCAACAATTAAATACAATCTACTGAAAATTGTAGGGAGAGCGGGGGAATAAACATAGAAATGATGAGGGAGGATATTCATTCAAGTGCTCAAACATAAAGTCTTCTGTTTTATGACCAAAAACTCGCCCTGGGCAGGGCCATTTGGAGGAGCACACCCGCTTGCAAGCAAGAATGGCCCCCCACATACCAATAATTCATTCTTGCTTCAATCAACAATTTAAGATACTTTCATACATGCTAATTTCTACTGCGGTACCATAACATCTACATAATTATGCAAAAGGGCAAGGGGAAGGGAACTGTCATCATATTCAATCGCTTAACATTCTTCAGATATGCAAGTAAATTAAAAGGAAAGCTCATAAGACAACTTTTCATTTCAAATGACATTTGTGGAAGTACCATATAGCAAATACTGCCAGTAAGGTTGGCGGCATTTTAATCAAAATTTCCCAAAAAAAATCTTCTACTATAAAGGGCAAATTACAAACACCCTCTCGAGGTTTGGTGAAAATACAGATTCCCCCTGAGGTTTGAGAAATTACATCCCGCCCCCTGAGGTTTATATTTCCATAACAAATTGCCCCCCTAAGGTTTTTATTTTCATATAGATTCCCCCTAATTTCCCCTAATTTGTTATGAAAATTTGACCCTCAGGGGGCAATTTGTAATTTCTCAAACCGCAGGGGGAATCTGTATTTTTATTAAACCTCGAGGGGGGTGTTTGTAATTTGCCCCTAATATATAATATATTAAAACTGGAAATGTGAACAGCAGTATGCTTGGCATCCATCAATTAATTTTTTTAAATGTCAACTTCCTCATTGAAAGACATGCATTGAAATTTTTTTATCAAATCTTTTAACAATACCGTTCTTTTCCTGCTCTCACATGTCATCTGGGTCCCACTAAAAACTTTTAAAACCCAATTCCACTTGTTCAATCATCCTGCAACAATTATATGGCTCCATACAAATGGAATTCCTTCATATTTTTCATGTAATCTCTCATCAGCGTGAAAATCATACCTAATCAATGAAGTGACTAGCTGACTTGGTAACAATGTTAATTTAAAGAATTACGCATATAAAAAGAAAAGCTGATATAACTCAACATGCAAAACCAATTCTCCATTTTTTAATTTTTTTTTATTTTTATCAGCAGTTCTCCAAGTGATGTTGATATAAATGACAGAAATAATTAATTATTCTTGTATTTTTCTCAAACATTTTGTTATTTTTGGATGTGATTATTTTCATCTAATAGATATCATCTGCTCATCATGATTTTGCTCGTGTTTCTTCCTACTTACTAGTTAATTGTTTTTTATAGGTTTGCCCTACATAATAGTTAATACTGAGTTATTACCAGCCTTAGTGCAATTAGAAACTGCGATTTATAGAGATAAAGGATTCAAATAGTGAAAGAAGTTATGAGATAAGGATTCTTATATATCATTGATAATCAAAAAAAATTTGGGCATTGTATGCATTATTAGCTTTTTTAACAAGTAAAGTGTATTAAAAAAGCATAAAAGGGGAGGCTTTCCATGTACAAAACGAATTTGACAACATTGTAACACAATATTAGTGAAAGAAAAATTTCAACTTAAATCTATTTTTTCCTGACAGAAATTCGTATGTGGGCAGCTAGTAAATGATAGACACCAAGGGGGTACCCGCCATGTACTTGATCAATCTTCCCACAGCCACATTTCAAGAAAACTAATCTTGTGTTCTTCCTTCTTACTTTCAGAATTTAGAATCCGAATAATAAAATTCTTATATGACTTTCCTAATCCAACACGTGTAAACAAATCTAAGATGCTCCGATTACATTACAATATGATGAAAAGATAACACAAGTCAAGAAGTCATACTGGAGACTGAAGTTCTAAATATACATATATATATATATATATATATCTTGGAAACTCCAATAAGTCATACTGGTGTGATAATAGCCGAAAAGAACACAGAAACCTTGACACACTACAAGGCCAGATTCTCTTTTCACCATTTTAGTATTTTATCTACAAAATATGTCTCAATCTATCCACATTCTGGACAGGAACAGAAAATTTGCAAATAAAACTGCCTTTTCTGATCCTTTATCTTTCCAACTTCATATTAAAGATATCTTTCTAGATACCAAATAGACTTAGGCCTCGTTTGGGAACCTTCCCTTTTAGTTAAAATGCCAAAACGTTACTAAATTAGTCAAAAAGCCAACAATCCATACCAAAAAGTCAAAGATTCTCTTTTCTCTTTATTTTTTATACATCTTTTCGTAAAAAGTCAAAAAGTCATCCCAAACATACTAGTTTTTTTTTAGCTTGTATTTTAGCCAAATAGCCAAAAAGTTACTAAATTAGCTTATTCTCAAACGAGGCCTTAGTTGCTCCATTCCAATCAAAACTCTAAACTCTCTACAAAATTGACTCAATGACAATCCGTCAAGTGGAACTAAGGATTTATAGGGTTTATAGGACCGACATTCATGAAAACTTCTCAAATGTTCTCCTGAATAAAGAGGTCCAAATTTTTCTTCCTATCATATGGTTTTACAAGGTGATCTTTGTAAGGAGGATCCCTTTCATACTTTCACTAAACTTCCACTGAAGAAATCCAAAAGAACAGACGAGAAAAGAAAGAAGTAGGCTCTTAGAAGTTCAAAAATGTAGCCTGCTATACTTGCATAGAAAATATCCTGAGAAGTGGTGTCACCAGGAGTGTGATTATCAATCTATCCAATAAATCCTACCCAAATATTCAACCTGTAGTATTTCATTGTCGTGGTTATAATGCATTGAGATTGGGTTCAGTAGCACTCAAAACCGTGGAACCTTCCCTAACCTGGACAATACAGATGCAAACACCTACAAAAACTAAAAGCATGTGATTTAAAGAAAACCTAAAAGACATTAGGATCAATATTCAATAGTGGTAGCAACACCAAATTTTTTCCTAGCCCCATTCATGATCAACAATGTTACCTTAAAATGCCACGGAAAGTACAATGGAGGATTCAAATTCCATATTTCTAAAGAATTTATACAACTACAAAATAAAAAATCTTACAATCTTACGACTAATTCCAAACATAAAACTAAAATAACAGCCCGCACCCCCAATCTCTCTCTCTCTCTCTCTCACACACACGGAGTTTAATATTACTTTCTCACATCTACAGTGCTGCAATACTATACTTTCCCATTTTAAGATAGAATAATAGGGATACCCCACTTGGTGTATTGTCATACTTGATTGTTCATTACAAAAAATTTAAACTAACATTAAGGCATTTATATATGGTCATATGAAAGTTAAACATGAATCCCCCACATACACAAGTCCAAGTGTAAATAATTTTTGCCCACTTAGATTTCACAATAAGAATTTATTTCATAAATTTCACAATCGGTTTAAAACTGAACGCACCCAAACAAACACATTATTACATCAAGTGAAATTCTAAGCCAGGGTTTTTACATGTGGGTCAACTGAAGAAAGTTGAACCAATAAATCTTACATAAGGAAAAATTCCCACCAAACCCACACTAGTTGTAACATGTAGTAAAGTGTTCTTTCATAAATTACCATAAAAATCATTTTGTTTCAAGAAAAAAGAAAGTTGGTTTTCCGTTCTAATTCATGTAGGAAAATGCTTCTTGCGAGCACAGAGATACAAAAAAATAATACAACCCATAAATCTCCTATCAAAGAAAACCCATTTGGTTGTCACACTGAACCAACATTTTCTGTAAAATCCTAATTGAACTCTTATTGGCCATTAAAACCCCATAAACATGGAAACAATTGAACCACCAACAGAGATCACAAAACATCAAGATCCATCCTAAAAGCCAATTCAATTCAGAAAACAACAGAACCCTAATTCAGAATACCAATTTCGGTTCCTTTTATCTACAACACGAACAACGAAACGCACAAATCAAATATGGTTATCCGTAAACATCATATCAAATCAAATAAAGATGATGATGATAATCAATCGGAAAAGAGAAAGCCATGCAAAAATGGGGGAAGAGAGAGGATTTACCTGAAACGGAGAAGAGAGAGGACGGAGCGATCAAGAGAGATCGTGAATTCGTTGGAAAGGCGATTGAAGAAATGAGAGAGAAGAGAAGAGAAGGGGCAGAGAGATAGAGAGAGAGAGATAGGTATTACGAGGCTAAAACTGAATCGACCGAATTAGGGTTTTTCCAAAAAAGATCGATTTCCATTGAATTATTAAATTATAAAATAAACAAAAATAAAAATTATTTAACTGGTTTAGATTTTCAGAATTTATATTTTTAGAAAATTAAATTTTTTTATTTTTCATATTTTTTTTATTTTTATTGATCTAAGCAATCTTTTTAATTTTTAGATACACTTAGCATAATACACTTAAAAAGTATAATATTTGTGAAAAAAATCTTTATATAGTTCACTAAATACCAAAAAAATATATATAAAAAATGAGACTTCAATACATTTTTCGTATTCTTGTGTATTTATTGATTTTTTAAAATATTTTTTTACAAAATATTTTATTTTTTAGATTCATTTATGTAATGTGCATCTAAAAAAATAAAAAAAATTACTTAAAATTTTACAAATATTCACTAATAACAAAAAAAATACAAAAATTAATTTTTAAAATTAAATTCAAAAAATTGAAGTCAAATACATTGATTGGTCACAGTAGATATCTCTTTATAAATTATAACTCTTCTTGTCATCTAATTTTTATTTTATCATTTTACATCATTTTATTTCACTTAGTATATTTATAGTAATTTTCATGTATTATATTATATATTTAAAATTAAATAATTACCAATAAATCCATTTTGAAAAGTCTTTCACCTTTTAATTCAATTTTTTATTTTAGTAATGACCACCGTGACGAACTTTTCTAAATAAGGTTGTAATGAGCTGATGTTTGCTCTAACTTGATTTGATTTGATGAGTTTAAAATTATATTTAAATTTGACTTGTTTATTTAAAGGAATGAGTTTTTTTTAGTCTAATCACAGATTGAAGCGTACTGTTAGGTTTGTGAGAGTCCACCACGTGTTCTGTTTCAATAATCTAAACTGTTTAATATGTACAACTCGTCGATTACTATATGTCTATAAAAAATCACTTTAATCGGATTTTGATAGTTATGTGATCAAATCAATTTTGTATGAAAATAACGGATGATGAAAAATAAACAACTTAAAAAAATATGATTTGATCACATAGTAATCGATATTCGATCAACGTGATTTTTTAAAGAAATATAGTACTTGATGAGTTTTACAAATTGAACGATTCAGATTATCGAAACGGAACCCGTGATGAGCCCCCACAAACCCAATTGTACCCTCTAAACTAATTTTGAACGAGTGAAATATTAGTCAAATTAGAGTAACTTGATTTTTTTTATAATACATATGATATTTATTGAGTTAAGTAGTCGTTCGAGTTTGACTTGAAAATTTATTAAGTTTAAATTTATGTTTAAATTTGATTTGTTTACATAGTAAACTAATTTTCAAATATGAGTCAAGTAAGGTTGGTTTGGCATAAACTAAATAATACAAAAAGTCAAAAAGTTACTATCCTATTTAAGTCACATCATCTTATTTAAATCACATTATCTTTCTAACACATCACATCAAACCCAACCCAAACCCAACTCATATAAGCCAATAAATCAAAAGGTGTACTTTTTTAAAACATCTCAAATCAATCCTAGCGTAACTTAATTTTTTTTTGTATAATATATAATATAAATTTATCAAATTAAGTAGTAGTTCAAACTAAGCTTGACAATTTATTGAATTTAAAATTATGTTTAACAAATTTTTAATGAATTAAATATGAGTCAAGCTAATCGTTTGACAACCATATTTCTACATGGAAAATGCTCCGTAACTCGAGAAAGTGAGGCTCGAATGACGCGAATGGTACGGAAAATATTATCTTACCGGTAAGAGAATTAAAAAATATCCTAAAACGACGTCGTTTTGGAATTTTGAGCCACTCGAGCCACGAAAAATTCGAGTTACGAATCGGAACCGTTTCTACATAGAAGAAAAAAAATTATAAAATTTTGTCTCATGATTCTTTTTATAATTCCAAACAGATCATCATCCTTAAAATCTACCCTCCGGTTATATCTCCAACATTTCAAATCCTAATCTTCTGACCACTACACCGGCTACACCCCTCCCTTTGTAACCACCATTTAGGACTTGTTTGCGAATAAACATTTTTAGTAATTTTTTAGTTTTTTAATTAAAATATAATATAAAAAAAAAATATTTTGAGATAATTTTTTAACTTTTTACGAAAAAATATATAAAAAAAAAAAAAAAAAAATTAAAATCTTTAACTTTTTGATATAAATTATTGACTTTTTTATATTTTTAATAACCTTTTAACTAAAAAAATCACTTACCAAACAAGACTTTAATTCCTCTCAGTGGTCTTCCCTCACCTTGTGATTACTCTTTCACAGCTCATATACCTTCCACAACATGCCAGCTCTTATACCTTCCACAACATGCCACTCCCGTAAAACCCACCTCGTAACGAGAAAACAAAAAAATTTAAAAGAGCTAGGAGATAGAGTTTTAGGTTTGAAAAAATATTATTTTGCTTTTTAAACTTTCGCATATTTTTTAATTTGATTCCAGACTTTAATTAATATTAATTTTACATTCAAACTTTTAAAATTTTGATCAATTTGACCCATGCCGTTACATTCTATCGACAATTGCACGGAATGTGCTGACATGAGAGGCAAATTGATTTTTAAGGAATATTTTGGGGTAAAATAAAATTTCAAATGAATTTTAATGCCACGTCAATACATTCCGTTCAATTATAGATAGAATGTGATAGCATGTGCTAAATTGATCAAAATTTCAGAACTTTAGGTGTAAAATTAATATTAATCGAAGTTTGGTGATCAAATTGAAAAACATGTAAAAGTTTGGAAAGTAAAATAATATTTTCCTCTTTAAGTTTTTAGGTTTAGGGTTTGAAGAAAAATATGTAGTGTATGGGAAAGAAATAAACCTTCTCGTATAATCCTGTTGATCAAGTCTGCGCTCATCCGTATGACGTCGCTTTACTCCCTGAAAATACAAACGTGAGCTAGCCGGTGGGTGTGTGCCGGATACCTCTCCGATGCCTAAGTCAGCAAAATAGACAAATAGATAAAAGCTCTGTGTATTCGAGAATCAAAGTTGTGTTACCTCTCTATAGGTGATGTTGTGAGCTTTTATAGGTTTCGCGTGGCACAATCCTAATAGGACTCTTACTCCTCCACGTAGAGTCCTCCTAGGAGTCATACTCCTGAAAGATAATGCTTATCCTTCAACACCCTCATCACTGCTTAAACAAAGTGAGATGGTTTTACCATGGTCGGACTCCAATATGATCGAGGTAAGCATGGCTATGCTAAGGCCAAGTTTGACATCTACTAAATAATACAAAAAGTCAAAAAGTCATTATCCTATTTAAGTCACATCATCTTATTTAAATCACATCACTTCTCTAACACATCACATCAAACCCAACCCAAACCCAACCCATATAAGCCAATAAGTCAAAAAGTGCACTTTTTTAGAACATCCCAAACCAACCCTAAGTCGCAGACTAGACTAAGCTAAATTTAGCTCGGCTCTTCCATTCACTACTCTTACCCCAGTTTCTCCCAGTGCTAACCATGGGATGTCTCGACCGGGATAACTGATACGTAGTCCCAACCGGGATAACTTTGTGTGTGACGACCGAGCTTACCGTAAGCTCTTTGGGACCAGAGTAACTTCAAGCCTTTTTTAGACCGGAGTAACTTTATGGCCTTTTTACTCAGCCCTTCTTACCGTGGCCTAATGAACGGCCCATTACCTAGCTCGGCCCAATTTATATATAAATTACTCTCTCAATTGCCCCTTAATTCCATCTGCATAGCATGACAGGGATTACCTGTTACCAACCGAGCTAAAAACTTTATCCTTACGATCGAGCTAAACTCTTTAGTCTTTCCAGCCGAGCTTAAAAACCCTTTAGCCTTTCTAGCCGAACAAAAACTCTTTAGCTTTTCCAGCCGAGCTAAATTTACACCGGGTTCTATCTATCCGGTCAAAGTGTCTCTTCAATCACTGCAACTGAATCGCTTCTTATCCCAAGGACACATGGCATACTCTCATTGGCTGAAGGTAGCTGTCACGCCGTCTTCATACCTCCTGTTTTTTGAACAGTCCCGCCCAAATTTTGGGCCTTCCATCAAAACAAACCCTTTCGTTCTCTTTTGAATCACTCACACCACTATTCGAGCCTCCATTGTTCTGCAACTAAGGAAACTTCGTGGTTTTGCGGCCATTGCTCCCATCTTCAATTTCCTTTCTTTAGTCTGGTAAGGGACTTGACGCTTACTTTCTGTTGATTTAATCATGTTATATAGCTCTTGTTTTGCTTTTCAAAACATATTTTCCACTTTTGCTTCCATTTTTCATTCTGCCTTTTGTTTTCTGAAGAAAAAAAACCTTGCAATAGAACCCACTCGAATTCACGAAATAATCTGAGAAACACTGGTTTTGATTCAAAATCAACATGTAACCGAACTAAGAAGTTGTTTGCAGCCAACGTCAATCTAGCCGGACTAACCAACTGAACTAACTCTTCATGCTTTACAAGTAGTTTCAACAAGTCAAACCATCTTTTCACTTAATTTAGCAGAGCTATCGATCCGTACTAGGTTTGTGCAATAGTATGCCTGAAAGCCTAAACCACGACCGAGCTACAACTTGGGGCTAAACCAGCCTTCTTAGCTCAAACCGAACTAAGAATGTTGCCCCTAGAGGCTCAATCGGACTAACAAATCCCTTGCTAAAACCGAGTTAACAGTCCCCTTGCTCAAATCGAGCCAAGACACGAAGCACTTCATATAGCCGAGCTAGGACTTTATTTATCTTGCCTGTGTTTCTTTTAGCACGGTCTCACGATCTGTGCTTAACACCTTTGTTTTTCACTTTGCATACATAGGTTGCCCAGGCACTCCTTTGAGCGCTCAACCGAGTTACTCAGCACCATTCTCCAACTGAGCTAACGCCCACGTATAATTTATTCATAACTTAAACCACAAATGGGAAAGTATAGGTTTTTAGTTAACTCACCTGGTGCAATGGCTGAATTTCGCAAGGACTAC